GTCAGTTTCTTATAGGTAAAAACCCTAAAATTTTTATTCTTCCTCAACTCTAATTTCTTGTCCTTGACGTTTACTTACTTTTCTAGTCTAGGCCATAAGCAAATAATTTTTATTTCCCCAGCTTTAGAGGAACCCTGAGCCTTTTTCTAACTTGTTTCCTTTTCATCCCTGCTCTGTAGCCGTGACTTGTCCACTTAACCTGCTTATCCTTAACATAGCACCTCACACAAGTGTCTAAGTTTTGAACCTCCAGCTCTGCTACTTCCTTGCATTAGGATCTAGAGCAAGTTTCTAAATCTGTAAAATGAGGATAATAGTACCTGCCTCATATGGTTGTTGTAAAGATTAAATGAGAGGTATGTGAAAGAGACACAGTGAGCACGTCGTAATGCTATTATTACTACAATATAATAACCAGTGGTCCTTGTGATTTCATTCCACACAAGAGGCTTGTAAGACCTGGCGATGTGTTTATTGTTTAAAATCTAGGCCCCATGAGGGCAGAGACTTTGTCTTGTTCATCACTATATATATGTACCTAATATATAACTGGCATATAATAGGTATTTAATAAATACTTATTTAATGAATGAATGAATATAGGTAATATGGTTATAATTTTACTGATATTCCAATTTTATGGATGAGAAAACAGACTCAGAGAGGTTAAGTGACTTGTATAAAGTCCTACAGTGGGTTAGAAAAGGTTAAGATACAGTTCTCCTGCCTGATTGTCCGCTTCCCCCATATTACCTCTAAGGGCCTCTACCGCGTGATCCAAAAATTCAGGTGCAGTATCTTAGTTACTAAATGATGATTTTCAAGGGACAAAAAGGATTCTGAAATTGAAAAACCTACCGTAGTATCCACAGCCTTGACGTTCTCTGTGGGAATGTGCTTTGGGACAGGTTCTTTCTGTGACAGCATCACACATCCTTCAGCACCTAAGGTGATGATTACAACCTGGCAGCCCCTTTCCATGAGCACCAACGTAGCCTTCCCAGCATCCGAGGGGCTACTGACCTCAAGGCTGGTCAGAATCTCAGCCTGAAATACATACAAAAAGAAAAGAAACTGTGGTGAGAATAAGTAACTGGGTCTGCTTCTAGATTAGATCTGTTTTTCTAGGCGATGTCTCCCTTCTTTTTCATAACCACCAATGCAGTGGGGAACTTTGGTAGATACTGGCTCAGGAAAATAAATAAAATAAAACAATAATAACAATGACAACAAAGAAGCTATAAAAGACATTCTTGGGACAACTGGGGAAATTTGAATGTGGCCTGAATATCAGATGACAGTATAGAATTACTGATAATTTTCCTAGGTGTGATAATGGTATTGTGGTTCCTCTTAGGAGATGCAAGCTGAAGTATTTAGGGGTGAGGGATCATGCCTGCAACTTTCAAATAATTCAACCAAAACAAAAATAAATACACACAGGGGAGAGGGGAAGCCAGTGCAGCAAAATGTTAACAACTTTTTTGGTGGAGAGGATATGAGTATTCACTGTATTGCCCATTCAGCTTTTCCTTATTTGTGATGATTTTCATAGTAAAGAGTTAGGAGGAACAAAGAGAGTTTTACAAAAGAAATAAGGGAAGTGGGGAGGGAGGAAAAGAAGAAAGGAAGGGGCCACTGCCAATGATTTTAGGTATAAATCATACCCATAAATTTCACACCTAAATTCTTTTAGGCTTCTCTTGGGCCATAATGCCTTTTGCATATTACTAGTTTGCAGACCACTCATTTCTTTTGTTTGTTTTGCTTGAGCAAATGGAAGCAGAGTAGGAGAGTCTCTGATATACAGCAGAAAAAGCAATGTGCTGATGTTCAGAGACCTCCACTACTCACTAACTCTGGAAACTTCCCCAAGTCACATAAAGTCTGTAAAATGTAGGGCTTGGACAGGATCAGTAGTTTCCTCCTAGAATATAAAAAATCCTCTGGATGAAGTAGGGGTGAGGGGCTGCAGCCCTGCTTCCTCATCCCCCAGGTACCCACCCAGCATCTCCAGGGAACCTTTATGGTTCTGGGATTGGCAGCTGAAAATTCACTGGACTAGATGAATTATATGATACTTTTTGACTTAGAAAGCTTATAACCAAATTTTGTCTTTTCTCTATTACAGTTTAATCATATACTATCTCTTCCTAAGAAGGGGTATATCCCTTCCTGTGCTTGCTCTGAATGTGCCCAGACTAACCCTTCTTGGTGCCTGTAAATCATCCCACAGTGTCTGCTCATTCTTGGTGTCAGTCTTCCCAGGAGCATGTGTTTCATTAACTTGACCATGTACCCCCCAGCGCCCCCCTTACCATCTTTTCCATAGACCCTTTCTTTCAGTCTGTGTGGGTTATACTGTGAGGCCACTTTCTTTTTTCTTTTTATAAGTTTTGCATTGATCTTCATTACTGGGATATTTCTGTTGAGTTGGATAGTTTATTTTCAGAAATATCGATTTCTTCTGGTTTTTAAAAACGTTTTAAACAGCTATTCTTTAATGAAAAATCCTGAACATGAAAAATAATGCACAAACACTCATGTACCTACCACCCACCTTTAGTACATTTTACTTTATTAAATTTTACTTTATTTGCTTCCAATAGTTTTCTTTAAAGAAATTAAATGATATTTTCCATATATATTATTTAGTATTGTACTTTTCACCTTAACATTTTAAAATTTGTGTTGATATATGTAGCTTTCTAAAAAAAACTGCACTGTATTCCATACTGCAGATACATGCTACAGTTTAAACAAAATCTGTTTTCTTTTTCATGGACAATTTGGTTTTTTCCATTTTCCCTTTTTACAAGCATGTAATCCTTTTTCCTCTGGCTATTTAAAAATATTTTTATCTTTATTAAACCCCTTGATTTTATGCAGTTCCACTAAAATGTATGTTAGCAGAAAGTTATATTTATTTATCTTATGCGGTCTTTTAACACACTTCTGATCTTTTGAGAGCTCATGCCTTTTCTCAGTTCTAGAAAACACCTTGCAGTTTTCCCTCTAACATAGCTTCTCTTCAGTTCCCTCCATTCTCTTCTTCCTTCATTCCAATTTGACACATGTTGAAGCCTCTCAAGCTGCTAACTTCCTCTTTAACAGTTGAAACTATTTTTCTTTCCATGCTATTTTCTAGGTGAATTGAGTTTTCTACCTCCAGGTGAATTGATCAAGATTCTCTTTCAGTTCATGTCTGATGTTTATCTTTCTAATGAGTGCTTTAAAAATTTTTCAATGACTTTTTCATTTTCAGGACTTCTAATTGGTTGGTTTTCATATTCACAGACTGTTGCTTTGATTCTGTTTTTCTTTCACAATTTCTTCTCCTTTTTTAAAGAATGAGAATCTTAATCATACTTACTTTAAAAGTCTTTTTGTGTTGTTTTATTATTTGAATTTCATCTTGGGCAGGTTTCTCTTCAGATTGTTGATTTTGCTGGATCTCTAGCAGCAGTACATTTCCTCATCTGCAGGCTCACTCTGCTCGCAGTGAGTTGGAGAGTCTGCACATTTCACTCCAATCAGGTTTATCCCTGCCTTTCTGGTGGTTTTACAGCTGCATCCACTAGGTCCCCAAGGGTCTCTAAACCAGAGCCAGGTGTTAGGTCGGCAACAGAGAGTTCCTGTTCTGGGGGGTTCTGGCACTAACCGCCAATCCAGTCACTAAGTCATCAGTTGGCTTGGTTTTCTTCCTGATCAGAGGCAGGCTTTCTGTCCTCCTGTCTCTGCAGGTTGGGAGCTTTCTATATGTTATAGCCTCAAGCAGCAGGCATAGCAGCTTCTTCCACTCTTTTTCCTTAGCAGAGAGGCCTTAGCCCAGCATCTCTGGTTTCTAGCCTGGGCACTGCTCCAGTCTCCCATGAGTGGCACACTTTCAGTGCCCATTACCCATGGGAGGCAATGCCAGCTTCTGGGACTGGAGTACAGCACACCCAAGGCTGAATCTCTGTGATTCTGTTCCATTTCTGATCTGTGGAGTTATTTATCTTGTTTTTGAGCTTGTGAGTATATTTTCATTGTCTCTTTTTGTATTTATATATCAATGGTTTGTGTGTGGCACAGAGGGAATATCTTAAAGCATGAATTTACATTGTTATCATGATTAGAAGTCATCTATGAGAATGTTAAGCTTTAAAAATTTTTTTCTATTAAGTTTTTTAAAATTAATTTTTATTGGAGTATAGTTGATTCACAATGCTGTGTTAGTTTCTGCTGTACAGCAAAGTGAATCAGCCACACATATACATATATCCACTATGTTTTAGATTCTATTCCCATATAGGTCACCACAGAGTATTGAGTAGAGTTCCCTTTGAGATCAATTTCCTTAAAGACCAGAGTTCATTCATTTATTCATTCATTCAATAAGCATTTACTAGGTGCCAACTCTGTGCAGAGCACAGTATAACAGATGATAATTTCTAAAGATAACTGTCAATATGTATCACATCATACATGCTCTTTTCACACTGTGACAATGACAACCTTCTATTGAGAGGTGGGGTACCAGGGTGGACTTCCCTACGTCAATCAATAGAGTGGGCCAGAAGAGATGCTGTGTGACTTCCAAAGCTAAGTCATAAAAGCCACCATGTCTTCTGCCAGGCTCTTGCGCTCTCTCTCCCTCACCCCTTCTCAGGAGACTGTATCTTGTTGGAACCCAGCTTCCATATGGTGAAGAAGCCCAGGCCACAAGCAGAAGCCATGTGTAAGTGTTCTGGCCAATGGCCAGCATCAACTAGCAAGCATGTGAGTGAAAGAAGGTTCAGATGATTCCAGTCTTTGAGTCTTCCAGATGAGACCCCAGATATCGTAGAGGAGAAACAAGCCATACTGTGTCCTGTCTCGATTCCTGATGCACAGATACCATGACAGACAATAAATAATTCCTGTTGTTGTAAGCTACTAGATTTGGGGGTAATTTATTATACAGCAATAGATACCAATTGGGATACAATAGTGAATAAGAGATGTCTGTTCTTTCCCAGGAGAAGACAGAGGTATTGAACAAGCAGTCCATGCTGTGATGAGTGTCTGAAGAATCATTAGAGATGCTCTGTAAGTATCTAGAAGGGAAATCTAAGCCAGTTTGGCATTGAGGGTAATCTAACTTCTTATTGTGAAATGGTCACTCTCTCCAGCAATTCCTGTTTCCTAGCACAATGCCTGGCCATGGTGGTTGCTCAAAAATATTGCATAACCTATTGTGGCTTCTTAAAATTAGCTTCCTTGTTGCAGTCTTCTTTCTTATTTCCTTTATGTTCTGAGAGATGAAGTTAATAAAAAGGCAGGTCAGGAAATCCTAGAAACCTTCATTCAGCCTTTGCACCAAATGAAAAACTAATAGGTCGTTAATTATAAACTTTCTTTCTCTGTATGTTGCATTGTATAATATGTCTTGCCTCCCAATGTTGGAGGAGAGTGCTGGTCTAATACTGTTTGTCCTATAAGAGGGAAAATATTGAAATTTTCTTCCTAAAATGCTTTAGAATGGCACGATATGAATATATTGATAGAGATTTTAGGCAGATATATACATTATGACCCTCAGGTGGACTGAGACGGTGCTCCCCTAACAGAGTGGCCACCAGGGCTTCCCATGGCATCAATGGAGAACCTCTGTCTGTCCACCAGTGCAATCACAGGGTCTTCACAACAGAATGCAAATGCTCCAGTGTTGTACATTAGTTAGCACTGCTTGATAAAATATAGGACTCTCAGTTAAACTTGACTTTCAGATAAACAACAAATAATTTTATGGTATGTTTAGTATATTATTCCTTATTTACCTGAAAGTCAAGTTTAACTGGGCATCCTGTATTTTTGTTTGCTATCTCTGGCAACTCTAATACTAACAGTAATTAGTCCATACAATATGGAATGATTAAAAAAGAAAACAGAAACTAATAGTATGAGGGCAGGGTGGGGACTAAAATTAGCTGAGGTTTGATAAATGCCCAATTATGGGTATGACTCAGGGAATCCTTTTTCTTCTAGGACTCACTAGTTTCCTTTTTTTCTACATCCCAGTCATCCAAAAAAATCTGTTTTCGTTATGCCCAAGAATTCACATGCAATCAAGTTGATGAGGTAAGTCCTGTTTCTTTGCTTTATCCACGTACATGAAAGTCTTCTGGTTTCTCAAGGAATTAGCAAAACCTTCCATCCTTACCTCACTTTCATTGCAGCAGAACACATCTGAGAGAGTGTAGAACTGGGGGTCTAGGTCAGCAATGGCAGGCGCTGGGTTGAACAGTGTTTTTACTACAAAGGAGTGCAAAAGGGTTTCAGTGGTTATCGTTTTTAACATGGTGCATTTATGGACATTGAGTAAGGGAAATCCCCAAGTACAACCATTTTCCCCATTAGATTAAAAATCAGGGCTTCCCTGGTGGCGCAGTGGTTGAAGAGTCCACCTGCCGATGCAGGGGACACGGGTTTGTGCCCCGGTCCGGGAAGATCCCACATGCCGCGGAGCGGCTGGGCCCATAAGCCATGGCCGCTGAGCCTGAGCATCCAGAGCCTGTGCTCCACAACGGGAGAGGCCACAACACTGAGAGGCCCGTGTATGGCAAAAAAAAAAAAAAAATCAACTTAGTTACAGATGTAGAAAAGTCTGGAATCTCAATCTCCGTGATAGCCTAGTAGCAATTCCTTGTTATGTCCATTTGCTCTACGTTTTACTTTACAACATTTCAGCTTCAAGGGCAAGCATCAATATTTACAACTAAGGTGATTACAAAGTTATGACAAAGGACAACAAGAACATTAAAGAAAAATTTGAATGTTGTGGCATGAAAGGACATGTATAAATGTGAACATGCAGGCTGGTGAACATTTTTGTGGGTTACTGTGAGTGTTTAGATGCAAGGCTAGTTCATAAATCCATTTTCCAGGAAAGTAAAAAAGAGACGATAGAAAGGAAACAATGAAGAGCTTAAAAATTTCCTGGTAAGAATGGTAAGTAGGAAGTTCATGTACATATCCACGTTTTGAACACCTATATGTATGTCTTCCAAATATGTTGCACTTACTCATGCAAACATACACATTCACACAAAAGCTTATAGTCTTGGCTTCTGTGGGCAATCTGGGAATGTAAAGGAAAGGTTGATAAAGGAGGAGAAATTGAATCAGGCTAAGAGCTAGCTCAGACTACAAGAGGAGGATGGATGGGGACAGCGGAAAGAGGAAAAATGAGAATGTCACGGCCATTGCAGTGTTAGAAGAAGTACATTTTTCAGAGAAGGAAAGTGAACCTCAGAGAGATGAGGTCAGTCTAAGGTTCTAACACTGGGAGATGGTTAAGCTGGGTCCCTACCCAGGGTCCTCCAGCTTGAAGTCCAGGGTTTGGTCGTTTCTAAAGTGGTTGCCTCTCTAGGCCAGGACTTTGTCCATAGCAACACAAGCCCCCCATGGCAATTCACAATATTTAAAAACAGCCTTTGTTCTGGAACTTTGTAAATTGTTTTTTTAAGTATTTAGAACTTATATTCATAGGAAGCTGTCCCTCTGTCAAAACACTTATCCACCAGAGTGCCCAACTAGATTGGTTGGTCTTCTTTCTTCTACCCAGGTCCACGGACTTACGTGTGTTCAGTAACCTTAATTTACTATAGACTCATAGAGTAAAACTCTCTAGCTGCAGTCCCCAGAGACTCTTCTAGAACAGTGGTTCACCAACTTGGCTGCATATCAGCCTCACTAGGACAGCTTATTAAAATGCCTGACTTCTGGGCTCCACCTCAAACCCACTGAATCAGAATCTCTGGGGGTAAGGTCAGTGAGCGTGCACATTGAGAAGTTCTCCACGTGGCTGTTCCATGGCTAGTTTGGCGCTGATGCATTCCACGTTCCTAGGGAGGTGTGTATCAGCATGTGACTAGTGGAAGGTGTCCACTAATTCTGCCTGGGGAGGCTAGCTAATCTACTGCTGCACCTTCTTTGGTCTTACTTAACATTTTGGTTCAGTCAGTGGATCTCGTCCAGTGGTTTATAGGCTAACACTATTCCCATATTTTCATTATTTTAGAATCCAGAATGTCCACTCACAGAAATTCTATGGTATATTTTTGGCTCTTCATATTTTTGCGCAGGGTTATTGTGGGGCTTAAATGAGAACATGGATGTAAGAGCCCTGTGTAAACTATGAAGTGTTGTACAAAAGTAAAGGATTATTACTGTTACTATATTGTCCTTTACCCATAGCCCAACACCCCTGCCTGTCCACCCATCTCTTCTGCCTTCTGATGGAGTTTTTAGCCTGGCAAAAATCTCTCTCATTGGTTTTCCCGCTTCTGCAAGGTCTCAGAGATGTCAATTATGCATAAAAGCCATCATTGCCCAGCATTCTAACACACCCGTTTACTTTTTAGGTTTTCAAAATAAATATGTTGTTCCCTATTTTCCTCAAGCATTAAACTGAAACACCATTGCTCACCTAATCTGATCCTCAAAGCGGCACTCAGCAGCTCTGAGCACAAGTTAGAGCAAGCTATCAGTATGCAACAATAGGGTAGAGCCATTCTTCTTATAAAAGTTCCATTTTATCCTAAAAGATCCTTGATCCAGCAATTCCTTTTCTAACCCTGTCCTACAGACATACACAGGCCTGCAAAGATGAGGTACAGTGATGCTCATTCAGCTCTGCTTGTAACAGAAAAAAAACCAAAAGAAACCTAAGTATCTATCAGAGTGGATAAAAAATTATGACACATACGTCCAATGGAATGCCCTGCTGCTGTTCAAAAGAATGAAGCAGATCTCTGTTTTGCCACATAAAGACTTCTATAATTTATTTATATAAGTGAAAAAGGCAGTTTTATAATAAAGTCTACGGTAGGATCTCCCTCACTTTGAACAAAACAAATAAAACATAACTATATGTGTATTTACATTTATACACTTACATAGAAAAGCCTGAGAGGTTACTCACTAAACTAATAAGTGATTAGTTACAAAAGGCTGAGAATGAATCTGACCACAGATTAACTGCTATACATCATGAAAGACATAATTCTTAAAATATATATAATATCTCACATCAAAAAACGAGTACCTGGGCTTCCCTGGTGGCACAGTGGTTAAGAATCTGCCTGCCAATGCAGGGGACACGGGTTCAATCCCTGGTCCGGGAAGATCTCACATGCCACGGAGCAACTAAGCCCGTGTGCCACAACTACTGAAGCTCGCGTGCTTAGAGCCTGTGCTCCGCAACAAGAGAAGCCACCGCAATGTGAAGCCTGTGCACCACAACAAAGAGTAGCCCCCGTTCGCTGCAACTAGAGAAAGCCGGCGTGCGGCAACAAAGACCCAACGCAGCCAAAAATTAATAAATAAATTCATTAATTAAAAAAAGAATTGCTAGTGTATAGATACACAACAGATTAAAAAAAAGAAAAAGTGAGTACACTGTGAGTGAAATGATGTAATGGAAAAAATGAGTACACTGTGAGTGAAATGATGTAATGTCTGGGTTTTGCTTCAAAATAATCCAAGGTTGCAATGGGGGATGGGAGTAATAAGTTGGGGTATAGATGAAACAAGATTGGCCAAGTGTTGATAATTGTTGAAGCTAAATGAGAGTATATATGAGTTTACCATACTTGAAATTTTTCACAATAAAAACAAAAGAAATTATTTTATTTATTTATTTTTGGCTGTGCTGGGTCTTAGTTGCTGCACATGGGCTTTCTCTTGTTGCGGCAAGCAGGGGCTACTCCTCATTGTGGTGTACAGGCTTCTCATTGCAGTGGCTTCTCTTGTTGAGGAGCACGGGCTCTAGGTGCGTGGGCTTCAGTAGTTGTGGCACGTGGGCTCAGTAGTTGTGGCTCGCTGGCTCTAGAGCGCAGGCTCAGTAGTTGTGGCACATGGGCTTAGTTGCTCCATAGCATGTGGGATCTTCCCCGACCAGGGCTCGAACCCGTATCCCCTGCATTGGCAGGAGGATTCTTAACCACTGCATCACCAGGGAAGTCCCAAAAACAAATTTTAAAGAAACAGTGACATTGAATTTTAAGCAGCAACTGCTGGATTGAGAAATTCTACAATTTAATTTGACTGTAAATACTGTATAAAAATCAAGCAAATCTTATTTGCCTGTATCTTACCAAGGGAAAGCATTCTTACCAAAAGAAACTGGATACATAGGCTTAGAGTCTAATAACTAAATTTAGGGGAAAAGTGAAAATACCATAAAGAAAGGAGTCTCTTTGGCTCATGCTACCATAAATAAGCATGAATACTTCACCATGATGAAAAAAAAGCAAAGAACTAGTAGATGTAGTTCATCAAAGAAGAATGCAAATTTGTAATAGTCAAGATGAAAAAAAAAACTGATGTCATCCTGGAACCATGCAAAACTAGAGAACACAGGATGTACCGTGGAGTAACTTGAAGTTGCAGAGGTGACTGACAGCACCCAACAGTAATTATTATTCATTACAACGTATGACGGACTAAACTCCCAGTTGTCTTAACAGCATGTCAATGGCTGGTGCAATAATGTCAGTGAGGAACTGGTGAGGCCCAGGGAGGCAATTGTACAGGCGCAAAGACAGGAAAATGAGGTGGAAGCTCTTAATGATGTCACCATGGAGGGCAGGAGGCTGGACAGTTAAGAAGGCCCTAATAACGAGCTCAGAGAAACAGGGGAAGAAAATCACCCTAAGTAAAGAAACCATAGGAAGGCTGGGCTACCCAAAACACTGGCTTGGCAGTCTCCCACTCTAGAGGTTCTTCTCTGTGACTTGAGCATCAAAAACACCCAAAGCTTGGGCTATGTGCTGGACCATGTTATTGTGAAAGTCAAGGTGGCCAGCCAAGAAATTCTGTTTGCCAAATGGAAAAGGACTAAAGTGTCATTAAAAGATATTTTGTGTCCTACCTAGAGTTTAATCTTGGCGATCTTACAATCTCAATTATTTATAATTGTTCCTGTAATGTCCCATTTGCTTTGAAATGGATATAAAGACCAGAACCAACAGGCATAATTTCATCACAAGCAGCTGTACTAGCAGCTCTGCCGTGGGCCTACCTCACACCACTGTGACCTAGAGAGGAGGGGGCTGTAGAGGGCTCCCAAGTCATTT